CTGCCACCGAGCAATCTCCGCCATGCCAGCAGAGTGCCACAGCTTTCTAGCCTCAGGTGGCGAGTATTTGAGGCTCTGCTCGATCTGAACACGCTCGTGCGGCCTGACGACGGCACCCAAAGCGGCTGTTTCGCGAACCGGATAGTAAAAGGCCTGATGTCGACGACCTTGATCGTCAAAGATGTACTCGCCATCAGCACGCCAGTCGTCTAGCTTGAATGCCTCCTCGCCAAGTATTTCGTTTGCATTGGCCAGGCCATTCATGAGGAATCTGCGTTGAGCGTCAGAAGACTCTTCGACCATGGAAAGAAAAGGTTCGTGATTATTTGGTTACGAAGGTAGGAAAGCTTACTGGTGTGTGACGCCCTCCTTGTCTGTGATGGAGAAGGTCAGTTTCTATGCGCTAGGTCGATCGAGTCACAAAAATAGTAGCTAGGCATCTCACCATTATAACCATGGCTAATAGGGTTGTCAGTATGTCATTCGAACCTTCTAAGGAGCGGGAACCGACGCACTAGACCTTGGCCGCATCTTCACATCCGTCCAAACCAATGAGCATGGTGTCTGACGGTTGGAGAATGTCGCCGAAACTCCTGAGGAAATCGGCAGCATCGGCTTGATCAAAGTTTCCTGGCACATAGGGTCAACATTCAGGCTACAGGTTCGAATGGATGCAAGGTAACAAACCGATGCTTGAGCCCAAGCTGAGGATGCACTTGGACCTCGAGGCGAGTGAGGGTGACTTGAGCCACTCACGGCCATCGTCATAAGTACCCCACAATCCGTGGCATTTTACGTGTTGAAACGCTGGCACCTGGCCTAGTGTTCGCTCCAGTTCTTCTCGAGACAGATCGAGCGCATAATAGTCAATGTTCTTGCCGGCATTTTCGAATGCCTGCAACAGTAGGCAGACCTTACGCAGGTTACTTCAACCCGAATGTCAGGAACAATGGCCGCCTTTGCGGGAAGTGGGAGGGGGCGGGGGGGGGGAACGAACCCACTGCCCAGCTCTATGACCATAGCATCAGAGGGTATCATCTCAGCAATCTGCTTAGAGTACTGTGTGAGAGCTTCGATCTCATTATTGGTTAGGTAGTATTCCTCCAGATACGTGATCTCTACAGAGTTAGTGTCCATATGACCACAAAAGTCCTGTGGAACTGATGGCCTACATCCTCGAACAGCTGCAGACCCTTCTCGTTGTAGAGGAGCAACGTCGGCAGCTTCCTGGGGCCGTCTTTGGGGTTCCACATGGACAGAATGTCGTCCTTCAGATTGACTTCGACGGCAGCTCGCCGCACATCGATAATGTCAAGTTGGGACGCTACCTTCTGGGCTGCCTTGCAGCCAAGGGCTTGGTCATGCTCGAGCGATGTTGTGGCCGGCATGGTGGCACGAAGAAGGGCTCAGAAGGGGCGACAAGAAGACGAGAGATGAAGCAAACTTGACTGCCAGACAAATAAGGAACCGTGAAGACTAGCCGTCTTGACGATCGGAGGATGGAACAACGGCACACGGGAGGGAAGGGGAGGTGGCGGCTGGGTCTTATATCGAACACTTGTAGAGCTAGTATTCCTGACCCGGTTGCCAGGGTTGAGAACGAACCTTCGCTTGTACGTACCTCCACCTACAACTAATAATGAACAGGGTGCACCTTCTATATCCCACAGTGGGAAAAGTCACGACGCGATGTATAGATACATCGATGCCAATATGGAATGGTACCAGCACCTAGGCTGGGACGGACTGGAAGCCTGAGCTAGGCGAAGGGCTGACCCAGTTACGTAGGTACGAGGTCATGAGCGGCGTGGAGACATCGGACGCCTCGGTATCTGCTTTGTCGCATGGCCCGCTTGCTCAGCTAAACACCATTCATGGACCGTGGCACAGCGTGCAGGGGGAATGGTCGCGGCAGTGGCTCTGCGCTGCGCAAAACTCGCGCGTCCGTCCTTGTTCTCGTGCCATGCATACCTTTCTTTGCCTTGGGATCCGCACCAAGGGGAAAGGGAGTACGTTGCTGCGTGGGAGGCCTAAAGACGATGGCTAATCAGGATGCGGTTCAGAATCAGATGGTCGACCCCCCCCCCCCCGCGCCCCACCTGCACAGTGGAAGCTACGACGAGCTGCATGCTGATGGACGATGAACTCCGAATACAGAGGACACATTGGCCATCTTGGAAGGCCAGTACGCGAAAGATGTGGGTGGAACGCGGGTCATGAAGGGGGATTAATAACGGTACTAGTCCCCGTGGACCTCACACACGCGTCGATGCACCATGCCCGTTTCGAGGGAGACAGAAGGGCGTGGAGGTATAGGTACTGTAGCCGGTCGTGGAGCTGGAGCTGGACATTAGGGGGAATTGCAGATCCCTGTCTGAGTAGCAGCCGTAGGTAGGTAGGTAGGTAGGTAAGTAGGTAACGTGAACTCGACCCATTGACGAGCCTCTCAGCATCATGGCAGGGGGAAGTCCGACAGAGCGTCCTCTGCGCTGAACTGTCAATCCTGAGGGTGAGTAAGCTCGGCAGGACCGTCGACTCGGTGATGCCGCCAGCTCGAATGGTGATTTGCCCGAAGCTTGGTGATCAATACTGTTGCAGAGCTCGCAATTCTCGAAGGGCCTGTGTTGTGCGATCAGTGCTAAGGCCGTTTTTGGATCCATAGCTATCATCACTCGTTCGTTGTTCCCTCGTTGCTCGTCTCTGGTGAGAACCCATGCTGCGATGAGACCGAGATGCGGGCCTCGCGATCGTGCATGCAACCAAGAAACCATGACCAATTTGTCCCTGATTGTAGTGGTCATGACAGCGGGTATGAGGCCTTCGTAACGTCACGCCTCCACTGCCTAACGCCTCCGATACCCGTAAACTGCGGGGTAACTGCGCTTGCCCCTCACCTACTCAACCAGCGTCTCGAGCACTCAACCGCCCTGAATCTGTGCGCCCGCCATCCTCCTAGCTGCACCTCGCGGGGCTTGCTCCGTACTGGACTGTCCCTGTTGGCTGAGCTGCTGCTGCTGTTCCTCGCATCACTCGGAGCATAGCATGTCTGACCAGCCCCTAAAGCCCGATGCGACCAAACAGACGACAAGGTGCAGGAATCTGATCCCAAGGCCGACGCACGTGGGGGGCACTTGACCGTGGACACAAACGCTGCTTGGCAGCCATATTCCTTGCATACATATCCCTTCATGCTCATGCGTCTTCTTCCGTAAGAGGGAACAGTAGTCTGGATACCTCCTGTGACGGGGCCTCCCATCCGCCAGGGGAGAGCTCATTGAATCCTCCCACGAAAACGCTCTGGTCCAAGTAACCGAACCCGAAGGGCTTCCCCTCAATGTCTGCGACGAGCTCGGCATCGAGCCTTGTATAGTGATCCGTCGCTGTCAAGTCATACATGGACGGGCTGCCAAAGTGCGAATGGTCCGGCACGCTGGATTGCGGATTGTCGTTTGAACCATTCCCACGCCTTGACGCAACGCCATAGTCGTGGTGTGTATGGCTTAACCGACCCGTGCTTGCTAACTCGGCTCGAAGTGATCTTTGCATGCCAGCAGGTGTTGCACCAGCCGCCGCCAAATCCAGCTCCAGGCCTCGCGAGTGTTCTTTGCCAGGTGGAACGTGGTCCGATAGCGGCGTTTGTGCCTGATCTGTCTTGTCATTATCTCGGCAGCGGTCATCTCCAATGATGGAACCATTGTTGGTAAGATAGTCCTTTCTCTTATGCCATTCCTCAACGCCGCCCCCATTGCCACCCATTCGAACACTACGTGTTCTCGGGCCTGTTTCTCGTGCACCTAGAGCCCGGTCCAAGTCGTGGTTTCGATTATGATCGTCGATAATTCTAGCGTAGAACTCATCAGCTTCCTTGAACCTCAAGGCATACTCGGCGGCAAGATTTGAATGCCGAGCTAGTCGGTGAAGAGAGTCCAAGGCTGCTTTGGTGCTTTCGCCTAGTTCGTTGGTACCAGCGACTGCATAGCCGTCTCTCTGACCGACTTCGATACCGACCATGGACCTGTTTACATCCATTTGGGGGAAATGACGAGCATACAGCCCGACATAAGCAGCATGCCAGATGGCAAACACCACAAGTGATGAGTGTGGCAATCTTTCGCCGCATATTTCTATCAGATCACAGATCTCAGCTGCAGCATGGAAGAGCTCGTTGGCACTGCTGGCCCAGAAACCTGGCGGAGTGATGTCTGGAGCAAAAGTGGGCTCGTCCAACGGCCCGTTGGGTCTTCCGCACCTGACGGGAATGAATGGGATATATTCGCGATGAAGCATGATCTTTGAGAGACACATAAGCATGTGCAGCGAAACAAATGCACTGGAGCCTTGCCGACTGTCATGTTTGAAATAATTTTGCCGAGAGAGTGTGAACCCGAGAGAGCTGTCAGTCATTTGCAACTCTGTGTTGAAGTCAACGAGCTTCCGCGAGAGTCTTGAAAATTTCGCTTGCGCTTCCCATGGAGCAACGTCTTGTTCCTCGAAGAAGCGGCCGCCGGCGTTGCTGTAGTGCGAAATCTCTCCCCATATGTCAATGAGCTGTACAAAACTGCTGAGTATGTTGGGGCTGTCTGGGCGGTTGGCTACAACGGAGACAAGCGAGCCCCGGAGAAAGCCGGTATAGACTTGTCGAGTCAAATCGAAATCTTCCTCGGAACAGGGCAGCTGAATACGCAGGTCTTCCGAGCGTATGCAAGAAGTTCTATCTTTTCCGCACGATAGTATACGATCGAGTATGAAGCAGCTGAACATTGTTCGCCGCCTCACTTCTCCATCAATAAGTATCTTCTCGGCCAACGGGGAAGATGATGAGGACTGAGCCACGTCTCCAACCCCAAGTTTGAGCGCTTGCGCCATGCGTATGGCCATGCCAACGTACATCCAAGACCCTAAGCCCTGATGGTCTCGTGATATCCACTGGTATAGACCCAGCATCAAGAATGCCTGAACGCGCTCCACGGTTGCTCTTGTCATGGCCAGTCTGCAAGATCCCAAGGCTTTGTCGAGAATGTCGGCGAAGAATTCTGAGGCAGCGGCAGCTGCTGGTCTGGATTGCCCTCCACGCGGTCTTGCCTCGGGCTGAGTGTCATGCGGCAAGAGGTCTGGAGCTACACAATATCGGGCCTGGTCGTCGGTGGTTGCACTAGTATGCTTGTCGTGGGAGAGACGATGAACATACTTAACAAGTTCGTCGTGGTATCTCGCTGTCAGGGCGAGAATTCCGAGCAGTACCAGATTCAGCTCTGACGAACCCGTGGCTGGATCTCTCCGACACTGGTAGATCTTGTCCTTTAGTGTGGGAATGTGTAGGAAAGGTAGCTCTGTTGCGAAATGGAGCTTATAGGTGGCCAGTATCTGATCCCATACATGCCTGTCAAGAAAAGGCGCCGAGAGAATATCCTCGGCGTTCTGCTGACCATCGCTTTGAGCATTGGCCGGGGTTATTCTGGGACGTTTTCTTCCTCGACCCGACTCCCGATATTGGCGTATACTTGACGGCGCATCTGTCCGTTTTGGTGGCACTACAGATGGGTCTGGCCATTGGCAGCGCTGACCTGCTTTGATGCAATTCCTACAGGCAGCATCAAGCTGGCCTGTATTGTCGCACTTGATCTTGGACCTCCTGCAGCGTAAGCAAGCTGTACTGGACCGCACACGCGAAGGTCCTTCTGCGTCCGTTCTTGCCATTCGATTCGACTTAGTCGGCCTGCAGCGTGGTCACTTGAATAATTCGGATACTCATGGATCATGGCGCATAAAGGGAGCTCGGCACCTCAATATATCAGACATTGGTGCTGGGAGCAATATTGGCTTTCAATGGGAGAAATCATCAGGTCACCATGTTCAATAGCAAGCCACATCGGTTCGCTCAGGTAAGCAGTGGGGTGTTGGTCCTCCATGCGGAAAGGGCGATGGACCAGGATATATTTTTTTAACAATAGTGGTCCAGCACGGTTAATGAGGGTCTACATATTCCTGGCCATCGTACCAAATGGCAAGAGTTCCTTCACGTGCAGCCAAACGTTTCACGCAGTCTTGGAGATCTCATTGTCGGCGATCAGTCCAGGGCCAGACAAGCTTCGAGCTCAACTGGGGCGGTCAGTGGCTGTGCTGTCACCAACGACATGGATCCAAGAATGGCAGCACCAATGACGTCGCATCTGGAGATTCAGAGAGGCCTCTCGCGCCCATGCTTAAGCGCCTCCGACATGGCACCGTTTCAATGACCAACCCCGTCACAGTTCCAGCGCCCTGCTGTGACGAAGGAGGGGCGGAGGAGACGATCTGATATTTCCTACTCACAGCTACGAATCTGCAAATTCAGGGCCAAGTTTTCATTCAGGCATCTGTCAGGAACGAATCCCAACTCCGAACCATCAACTTTCATCCTTCATCGCAGTCCTGCACTTCCCCCACGCTGCTCCGCCCCTCAATCCAGCAGTCAACCCAGCGCTCAATACTGCAAGACAATCGAAATCCTGCACCTCGTCAACTACCTACCTTTGTTGGCTTGGCGCATCCTCCATACGCGGACTTGAACATGTCTTCGGGACACAATGTATGACATGCCTGTTACCCTGCGGCTTACAGCCGATGTCGCCCATCATATCGATCGATCTGCTCACGGATTTGCTTGCAGGACCCTAAGCTTCTGTACGCCATCAATGGCGTCCAGGCTTACCACATTTCCAATGGCGTGGAAGAGTCTCTGACGCCCGCTGGCCCTCAGACCCTCTCCCTCTTAATGGTGCCGACTTCGTCACCGTTCGCAGACGCCTCCGGCACCACTGGCACAAACACTCCACCCGAAGACTTCTACTTGCACCTACACCTCCCACCCGAGCTCGATCTTCCTCTGCCAGCCACTACCCAGATCTATCACCAACCTCCCAGAAGCTACCTCATTCCCCGTTGGGACTTGGGCCCCGACAGCGGTGCCTTTACCCGCCTTGAGTTTCCGGACACGGGCAGCCGTCAAGGTCTTCAGGAGGATGTCGACACTTTTGAGACCATCCTGGCCCAATGTACCGCCTTTCTCGAACGCTCTCCGCCTCCGAAGAAGGCAGCCAAGGCTGATATTCCTCCTGTCTCCACAACCAGGGCTGCAGAGAAGGATCTATCGGGGGCTTCTGGATCCGAGCCACTGCCTGCATACAACCCCGCGGACTATGAACCAGGCCAGGCTTACGCGCAAGGTAGCCACAGCCTGCATCCGGGTGGCAGGATTGTTTTGGTCGACGAGGAAGATGGTAGTGTCATTGGCGAGTTGACCGAGGGATATCAAGTCGATGACAGCGGTATCAAGCACGGATCCAAAGGTACGTGGTCGAGCCCCTCGTTGTTAAGCTTGAGGTAAAGACACTTGACTGATTACAAGAATGGCGCAGATCCTGTCGAAATCACACTTCCCTCTGATAGCACCCAGGCTGTCAAGGTACAGCCAGCATCCCAGGAGTACGTCGAGATGGTGATGCATCCTTCGTACAAGAGGTCATTCCTCGTGAACAACGCTTCGAAGGCATCCAGACTGATCGTTACATCATCCGATCTCATCGCCAAGGGCTTGCAGAGCGGCGCCGACACCTTTTCGCAGAAGACCAAGCCTGTGTCAAAACCTGTCACGTTCACGCCCGCAGCACACGACCGAATTCGTAGAATCAACACCTTCTCGTCAAAGGCTGCCGGTCTGTCGGCAACGACGGTCACTCACATTGGAAGGTACGCGCAGAACTTCGGTGCTTCCCTTAGTAGGAAGAAGGACGGAAGCGGTAGAGGCTATGACAAGGACGGCAACGTAGTCGAGTCTTACAAACCTGGGCTGCTGAACAAGAGTCTTATGGCCTTCAACACCGTGGCCGATGGTATCGAGCAAGCCGGCAAGAACCTTCTGGGTGGTACTGCCTCGAGTGTTTCACAGGTGGTCGAGCACCGGTGGGGCTCTGAGGCCGGTCAGGCCTCGCGGAACATTGGTGGTGGCTTCAAGAATGTTGGCCTTGTCTACATTGATGTCACGGGCGTCTCCCGGCGAGCCATTCTGAAGAGTGTGGCGAAGGGCATGGTAGTCGGCAAGGTGGGCAACGGGGGTGGTCAGATCATTGTGGGCGGCGGCGATGGTGGCACTGTCTCCCCAGGCACACTGGAGAGGAACAACAGCAACACGAACATCAGCGGGGCCGCGAGCATTCACACTGCTTATGAAGGTGGCAGCAGCAAGGGTAAGAAGCCCATCTGAAGGGGGGCGGCGGAGCCTTGATGGTTACGGCGTTGATAGATGCCCATGCCTGTGTTTTTGCTTTCCTGCGGCCAGTAGACCTACGATTGCAAACAGCAATGAATACAAATGACCGGTATCTTAAACTCTTTTCAACCATGATCAGAAAATGGTTGTCAGGCATGTGGTGCTTTCGCTGGTGCATTGAAGATGGCAGGCGGGGCGAGTGGGGCGCGTCTACCTGCGATAACTGATTTCAACCCGCCATCGTGCTTATCGGGCAGCAACGTCAGAGTCGCGTCTTGTCGCGATGGTGGTCAACAGGTCACTTCACCTTCACCACTACGGTAGACAAGTCCATCGAGCCACACGTGGCATGTGTCTGTTGTAGAGTTTCGCTGCAGCTAGCACTTCCACGCCTCTCGCTTGTCGTTTAAAGCGTAGGACAGAGCATCTCCGAACGAGACCACCCCCACCAGGATTTTGGCTGGGGGTACCATCTGGCAGCTACACGACAAACGATCGTGCTCAATGTGCCGCTTCGAGATCTTTGGCAGTATCATTCTTCTCATACACGATCTAGCTACTTCGAGTCGGTCCAAGAGGCCAGCTGAAACGACGCTGCCGCCGCGTGCCTCGTATGTCACTCTGCTCCGTACCTCCTTCGCCCCAACAATGACCTGATTGCAATCGTAGTGCGCCGGTCCAATTATGCTGCACGAAATCCTCCTGTCCTTGTCCGGGCACCCTTCACCACTCCTGCGAACCGATGGCGTTCAACCCACCGCTTTTGCCGCCATCTCGCCCCCCGAACGCGAACTTCTCGCCACCGCCGCACACCTCAGCGACTTGAACATCAAGCTCCTGGGCCACTCGGCCCAGATTTCGGCAGAACATCCCTCGACTATATGCCGGGCCGTTGCAACGGCAATTGAGTCGATTCATCTGGCTGCTTTTCAGCGCAAAGTCCTGGAGGTGGAAGAGACGGTCTTGCGGCATGATTCAAGTCTAGTGGGCGCCTACAATATTGTACCCTTGACCGCTGTTATTGGGGAGTTCTCAGGATGGACCAGGCGTCTGGAGTGGTTGAGAGAGGTAGTCCAGTTTATTCTGGGCAGGCACAAAGGTGGAAAGTGCTGCGGCGCTCAGTTGATTGATCGACTGCGCACTGAGCTGCAGAGCGGATACATGGACATTGAGCAGACCGCTCTGACTTTGGTCAAGGTTGCCGAGACGGCGTGGCTGAAGCAGGTGTCTGCCTGGATTCTTTACGGCCGATTGCCGAGTCACGGCGAGGGCGACTTCTTCGTCCGGCTGGCGGAAGATGGCGATCATGACTTTGTTATCACACCAACACTGCTTCCCAAGTTTGTCACGCCTACGACAGCAGCCTCCATGTTATTCATCGGCAAATCACTGAACCATGTCCGCGTAAAGAGCAGTGTCGATTCGGGCCTCATGGGGCTTGACCACCTCTCATCACAACTCCGGGAGCTCTCGGGCCTGGCCTATCCGCTCAACACAGCGAGCTTCTCAAGAGCCATCACCGCTCTCCGCGTGAGCCTATCCAGGACCACGCTTCAAAAGCTCTTGCCTCTGAGCAGAGTTGTCGAGATCCTCCGCCTGCTGCGCGAATTCTTCCTTCTCGGTCGGGGTGAGTTTGCCATGGGCTCTTACACAACAAGCAGATGAGAAGCTTCGGAGCCGATGGAAACGAGCGGATAATCTCGCGTACGACAAACGAGAGGCTTTGGTACCCTCGCTTTGAAAGAGGCCGAAGTGACAGCGGTGCTGGCCAAGACGTGGGCGGCGATGGGGTTGATGCAAGGGCAGCACGCTGACCAAGACGAAGGCCTCGAACTGGGGCGTGACTTGTTGCGCTTTCATTTCACCAAGTCCAGTCCCG